CTTCTTCTTCTTCATTTTCATTTTTTATCCTAGCTTCCTGGGGATTGCTCCCCAGTCTGCACGGCTTAGTGGTCAGGCAATGATTTGGGCAGTGGGTGTTCTCAAATACTTTGAATTTATAAAGCGTCCACTCTGCCCATTGATCTGTGTGTGGGTTGCAGAATTTATTCAAAGTTCACCCAGTTCTCAAGACTGCCTTGGCTTTTACTTTTCATTGGGGCTCTCGAGGATTTCCCTTTTCCACATGTGTGCTTTCCTGGTCGGCCAGCCGTGCGTGGAGAGCCGATCCGGCCTTTCTACAGCTCTTTAATTTCCAGGCTGTCCCCATACATTTCCGCCTGGTCTGCTGTTCCAACCAGGCTAGCAAAGCTACAGGTTTTCCCATGTGTTTCCAACTTCTCCTGATGCTGCTGCTGGCTTAAGTTTTAGCTTCTACCTCAATTTAAGTATAGGCCCTTTTGTGAATTTATTCCTGGTTTTCATGGCCAGCCTCGTCCTGGCTACATTATCATTCTCATTGACCAAACTGGGAGATGATGGGAGCAGCCGAAGACAAGAAGGCTGTAAAATTCCATGAATGTTTTCTCAAAGTTCTAGCAATTTTTAGGAATAAATGCTTCTCAATTTGTTGTTTGTCTTTGGTTAAATTCCAGAAGCCCGAAAAGGTTGTTGTGATTTCCTCTAATTAGATTTTGGGGTCTCTGTCTGCAGAGGGGCTGTAAGCCGAGAGAGCCGCCTCCTAGGAAGCACGCCCCGACGGGGAGGAGAGTTAGGTTCGGGTGTGTCAGTCAGGCGAGGCACAAGGGAGGCAGCACAAGACACATGAAGTAACAGAAGCATTTTATCACTCGCAGATCTGTGGGAGAACAGGGGCACCCGCAAGAGCTCACGGGAAATCCAGAGGCAGCAGGCTGCTCACGTAGCCGTTGGGGAACAAGAAAGAGGAGGGTACCTATGGACAGAGGCCTTTATTGGGGTCCAGGGTGTAACCCAAGCAGGTTTCTTTTTTTTTTTTTCACGAAACGTTTTTAAGTTATTAATCTTCTTGTGAAAAATCCACACAGCAGCTGCAGGTAACATTATTGCAGAATCTTTACTCCTTCGGCAAAAATTTTTGCCAGCACCAACATTGGCCTTTGGAGTCGCCCTGACTTTCTTCATTCTGTTCTTGCGTTCCCTTCGCTGCTTTCCTGATGTCTTTTTCTTCTCATACAGGCCATGCCTTGCAAGCCTATGTTTGGGTTCATTTTTCTTTGCATAACCCAAGGAATCGTAAATCATGCCAAAGCCAGTTGTCTTGCCACCACCAAAGTGAGTTCTGAATCCAAATACAAACATGACATCTGGTATGGTCTTGTACATTTTGGCTAGTTTTTCCCTAATTTCTGTCTTTGGTACTGTTGCCTTCCCAGGGTGAAGGACATCGCGACCATTTGTTTCCTCTGAGGTAGTCAGTTCGTCATGAACTTCCTGGTCCGGATAGTTACTGTGTCGTTCAAGATGGCAGTCAACCCTCAAGCAGCTAGGGAGGAAAGGAGCCAAGCAGGTTTCTTGTGGGAAGGCTGTAATTGGTGGGTTTAGAGCAAGCGGGCAGTGCTGTGGGGCGGGGCAGGCTGGCTGAGAGGTGGTCACAGTGGCATGTCTGTGCAGTCCATACAAGGTGTCAGGTCAGTGGGGTGAGTCAAATAGATTGTATCTCGCTGTCCTATAGGGAGGTGATCACCTGGAAGCAGTTGCACAAAATAGACATCTAGACTGACCACACTGAGGAACTGGTAGTGATTGTCACAGGTGACTGAACCCCGCTTCTAATACGAGAAAGTTCAACTTGCATTCAGAATGGATGCCGTGGCTCACGCCTGTAATCCTAGCGCTCTGGGAGGCTGAGGTGGGTGGATTGTTTGAGCTCA